GAAACCTAAGCCGATGTAAGTTATAAAAAGTTAGTTTTGCGCTAATTTCACGTCTAATGAAACTGCGAATGTCTGTCAATGTGAACATATATTATAATTATTAGGTTTGAAGTATTGGTTCATTAATTTGTAGCTCTAAGTCATTGTCATTATTTGATAGAATAGAGTATTTCCTAACCTTTTGAGAGCAGAGTTGGAGCGCATTGTTGTTGAGGAGACCTATTGTATGGGGTGTTGAGGGCAATACACTTATCACATAATCACATTCCGGGAGTATGTCCTCCAATGCAGTCGAATATCTGAATTGCAATTAATTAATCAATACATCCTTTGCTTGCATTCAAAATCAATATTAAACTTAAGATAACATTCTTAATATATTATACATCTAATTTATTCCTACATAAAGTCATTCAAAATCAAGTTTATTCTTAAAAGAGATTTGAGAAGTTTATTTAAATTTAGAGAATACTTTAGAATACTGATGATTACATTTAGAATCCAAACGCCATGTTATGTCTATGGAAATTGTGTTTATAGTGACCATAATCTTATATTCTACAAAAGCGGCTATTATTTTGATATTAAGTGTCAAATAGTAATGAATAATGTTGCTCATTCTTCTAATGTAACACTGTTTTACAGTATTATGAACATTGCGTTTCTAATTAAAAGGTTATGTGACAAACTATAAATTTAAAAATATCAAAATATTCCTGTAGGTTGAACATGGACATTTCTTTCACGAAACCAAATCCTTCCTTATTTATTTAGTATTGTTAAGAAATATTCCGATAGACATAACACAGAGTTTGTATTTTATCATCATTTTAATTATTTATCACTAGTGGGGAGGGAGGGAACATAGTCTAACTAAGGTTAACTTTTATTAGCATTTTGCATTTTATCCCAAATAACTATTTTATTATTTTGGGAGATCAAAGTAGTTCATATCAATGGTGAAGACGGAAACTATTTTTTATTTTTGCTTTTTGTTTAAGAATTAAATTGAACCGAAATGAGACTCAAGTGGAGAGAGAGAGAGAGAGAGAGAGAGTTAAAAGTTTAAAACTAATTGAAAATTCTGAGCACAGATATAGTGAAAAACCGAAATTACAAAACACATCAAATACTCATTAGAGATAAATGTCTTCGAAACGTAACAATACTTAATGTCATTATACTTATCGAGTGGTATATCCTTAATGCTGTGTTCATAGCGTTTGGTGCGCCCATAGCTCACCACTCGAGAGCCCAATTGCCGAAACTTGTGCGCCACTAATAAATTATTGATTATATCACACATTACACCATACAGTCATAAACTATACCATTATATACTAGTATATAGTGTAAGCACAATAGAGTGTATGCCGTGAACTAACAATAAGACAGCGAACAGACAATAAACTTCTTAAACAATATATACACCAAAAAACAAAAAGACAATTCTCTTCACTATATTTATACTAAACTCCAAAATAATAGACATTAAAAATGGATTAAGTTTTACATAAATTGTATTAAATGTTTGGTTAGCAAACATATACAATGAATTACAAGTAAGAGCATAAATTGAAAGCACTTTTACTATATGTCTGCAAAAATGTATATAAAAAGTCTTTGTTCTAATCGCTCAAAGCTTTCGATTTATAATTAAATTATTTGTGATTTTATTCATTAGGAGATAAAAACATAAAACGTGTAGTCTTTAGACGTTGTGTCAATAAAAGCGTGATTTAGAAACGAAATAAATGTAACTTTAAAATTCAAAATTCATTTTTCCATAAAATGTGATAAATAATTGAAAGTCTGCCTAAACTTAATAAAACTTATAACATGTGAATGAAAACTCAGATATATTTTATACGAAGTGAGCAAAAACTCTAAAACAAACTTTTATTCATAAATGAATTGAGATTTGAATTTAGATTTCCTTTTGAATTGATATAAATTCGTTCAAAAAATTTTGCATAAACTCTAATAAAATCGGAGACTACTAGGATCTATAAACTGTATCACTGAATACTGAATGTGCGAAAAAATAGTATAAATATAACTAAATAAGAGCCAAAAGCGCATAGAGTTTGTGTCTGAAAAAACAGTTACAAAATCCTGACATAAGTCTTTGAATACAATATAAGATTTATAGTTTGAATCGATTTAAAGCTTAATATAGAGAAAAAAGTTAATCCAAAATTCGTTTAGATATAAGACTCAATACACTACTATAAAGTTATTTACTTTTTTCAAAAAGTAATAATTTTTATTCAATACAGATCTTGTAAATTCATGACTTACTGCAGTA